ATGGTGGCCTGATGGCAGGGGTGCTTTAGAACCTCCTGGTGAGCCTGTGGAGGGGGTCAGAGGAGGGCCCAACCTGGGGCAGGGAGAACAGTGGAGGGCTCCTGAGTCATGAGAACAAGCTCTGGTGGAAGCCAGGACCTAGGCACCACCGGGAGGAACTCAGGAAAGAGCGACATTTCGTGCTGCTAGAGAGGATTCTCCAGGACTGGGCACCTATCAGGGTGTGGGAGAGAGAAAAGTGAGACGTCCAGATGGCTCTCCGGCTTCTGGGAAGGGCATTGGGTGAAAAGTAGTGTCATTCCCGGAGAGAGGGAATCTGGAAGACAGACTTGGGACTGAGGTGAGGACAGAATCATTCGTTTTGGGGACCAGTACTTAGCATAATGGCTATGTCGTTGGTCTCCCACATAGTCAACCGTGGTTCAAGTCTCAGACCCGGCAACTTAAACACATGCCAGGCGTGTGTGCGTGCGTGCCCAAGATCACGAGAGGAGAATAGAGGAGAAGGGATTGCGGCGTGGCCATCCACCCTGGGGGGTGATTTCTCACTTTCTGTCTCTCTCTGTCTTTCTGACGAGCCCACGCGCCCTATAGCAAAAACCTCTCCAAAAAAAAAGAAAAAAAAAAGAATCATTCGTTTTGAGCCTGACTAACTAGGAGATGCGAGGGGATGTGCGAGTGGAAATACCTGTCAGCAGGTTCTAGCAGGTTCTCAACGGGAGCACCACAGGGACGTGGACTGGAAAGGTCATCTGGAGTCCTCCACATATGGAGTTGTAATGCCACTTATTCGTTCAGTAAATATTAGGGACATACAGTTGGGGCCAGCCTCACAATTAGGAGAAATACCAGGCCAAGGCAGCGTGTACAAAAGGGATCCAACCTAATCTTGGGGGCTAAGGCCTTGGGAAATGAGATGGGCCAGGGGGAGAGGGTGTGAGACGAAATCCTAGTCACCACTCCAGAGGAGGGGTGTGGAGAAGTCCGAGGTAGGAGGGGCGCCAGGAGAAGGACCATCGCAGATGCCGGGGCTGAGAGAGACAGCGGACAAGGAGATAACGGTGTCGACACGCCCAGTAGAAACAGCAACGGAGGGGCTGTCTGGTGACCCTGGGAACCGCAGCTGGAAGGAGAGGCCATTTACTCCTATGCGAGGGATCAACGGAAGATAAGAAAATGGAGACAATAAGTGTAGATCATAATGTTCAAGCCTTGGTTTAGTAAGAAAGAAAAGAAGATAACCCTTGAAGGTGGGTTTTGGATTAGGAGAATATCATTCGTTTGACTTTGTTTTCATTTTGTTGACTTTAAACACACAGCATGTTGAGTATATTTTATTCTGAGCAGAGATGCAGTGGAGAAAGAGGTCGGGAATCCCGGAGTGGGAATAACTGCTGCTGGGAGAGCCCGAGGCGGGATGGGATGGACGGACTAGCCCTGGTCGGGAAGGGAGGGCAAGAGAGCTGAGGAAGCCAGTGAATTTCTGGGCGAAGGCCCCTCTGCTCTGTGAAGCTAACCCTGTCTTGCGTGTTTCAGCCAATCCCGACTGCCTCTCAGGTCTTTTCTCCTCTTGCTTCAGATTCAAGGAGGAGCTTCGCCTAATTCTCTCATCTCCTTTACACAACAGATATTCAGGGGCCCCTCGTGTGACAGGCTTGGTGCTAAGTGTGTGGAACACAGGAGGGAACAGACCAACAAGGGCCCTGATCTCCTGACACCTCCATCCAAGGAGAGGATCTCCCGTGGCCTGATTAAACCTAGCTGACTTCTCCCTGGGCCTGTCGCTCCATCTTCTGCCTTCCCTATTTTCTTCCTTTCTTGTTGTCTTTTACTCCCCTCCAGGAAATATAGCTTGCCGAGATGAACCTAGGAATTCAGGGTCATGTAGACAAAGGGAAGAAGAGTTAAGGCTATAAGCAAAATTCTGAAAGAGAAGTGGTCTTTGGAAGAGATCATGTAATAACTTGATCCCCAGCCCCTAGGTTCTCAGGGTCTTCCCTGCTATGTCGTTTTGTTTTGTTTTGTTCTGAGAGATTTTTGCTACAGAGCTTGTGTGCTTGCCAGAGAGACAGAGAAGCAGGAAGCAAGTAATCAGCAGCCCCCTCCCCTAGAGGGAATGGCCACATGGTAATCCCTTTTCCATTCTCCTCTAGGGATTCTGGGCATGCACACACACACACACCCCTAGCGTGAGTTTCAAGCTGCTGGATCCAGGACTCGAACTACAGCTGACCCTATGGAAGTCCAGTGCCTTAACCACTACGCCACCTGCTGGTCTCCTTCCTTCTTCTACTTTAGGATCAGGTCCTAACCTAGACTTTCCTGACCTTCTCCAAGTTTCTCCAAATTCTCCAAGTTTCTCCATCCTCCATCAAAACTCCTACTCCCTTATTATAGCTATTTTCAATTGATAATTGTGACAAAGACCATTTGAATTAACTCACACTAATTTTTTAGAGAGATTTTTGCTATAGGGCAAGTGTGCTTGCCAGAGAGCCAGAAGGAGTTAGAGAGACAGAAAGCAAGAAATCACCCCTGAGGGGAGGTGGCCACACTACAATCCCTTCTCTTCCATTCTCCTCTCCAGATTTTGGTCATGCATGCACATACGCCCAGCATGAGTTTAAAGCCACCAGGTCCAGGACTCGAACCACAGTTGGTAATGTGGGAGTCCAGCAATGTAACCATTACACCATCTGCTGGTACCTCACACTGGTTTGTTAATGGTGGATATCCTTTTTTCTCCAGGAGCCATAACTTCCCTAAGACCCCCACCCCCACCCCCGCAAGACTTGTTACCTCCTTCCCTGCCTGCACACTCCACCACTTCCCATGGTAGCAGCATCTGGGACACTGGATAGCAGGTGGCGAGTGTGGGGGTCGTGACATCTGCAGTCGCTTACATATATTGTCCAAACCAGGGGCTGCCTCCGCAGTGGGGGAGGGAGTGCTCAGGGGCTTCTTGACAGGAAGAATGCAACCTCTCATAGAATCAGCAGGCATCTGCCCAGCACGGTGCTCACCAAAGGCCTTTCTCATGCCTTCCCTGAGAGGTGTGTCAGGGCTCAGGGCTCGACTCCCTCATCCTGGGAGCTGTTGGGTTCATGGAGAATGCAGTTCCCAAGCTGCTTGCATTTGTTGTAGAAATGGCAACATTCTGCTAGAACCGATCGATAGCTGGAAAGTGGCTGTCAGGAATCACTTCAGAATTAGGTCTGAGAACAGGAGGCACCGCTGGGAGTAGGCCCAGGAAAGGTTGCTCCGTGGTTATCGATCCTGCAGCCTCTCCCTTAGACATCTGCTTTGGGCAACTGCAAGGACTGTTCCCTCGAAAGTCCTTGAATCAGCAGCTGTTCTTGGGCACGTTGTTTGGAGTGTGAACTTTCTGAGCCTTAAAATGAAATGAGAGTGCTTTTTCTGGACCCAGGGTATTACCCTAGAAACGCCAAAGTGTAGCCAGACGTGCTCAGATTCTAATGTGCTTCTGAATCTCCTGGGATCTTCTTACAATGCAGATTCTGCATCAGTGACATCTGGAGTCGACCTGGGAGTCTGCCTTTCTAACAAGCTTCCAGGTGAGGCCAGTGCTGCTGGCCACAGACCCTTGGAGTACTAAAGACCTGGAGTTGCACTAATACATTAAACACTGGCCACAAGTACTGCTTGCACTTACAGTTCATTAAAATGAAATAAAAATTCAGTGAAGTTCCTTGACATCACTAACACAGTTCAGTGCTCAGCGCCCACATGTGGCTCGTGGCTGCTGTATTGAACCGCGCAGATGAAAACCATGATCACAGGAGGGTCTCCTGGATAACCCTGCACTAGAGCGAGCCTCAGCTGCAGTGTCCGTCTATTTACCTGTTTACTCACGGAGCGTTTGCCACATGCTAAGGGGTACACTTGGGGCTAGGGTGTCAAAGGCATTGTTCCAGCCAGCAATAGAGTAAACGTGAGCTGATTTGAATTGACTGTGCTTAAAATAAAGATACCACTATCGATTTCCAGACCTGGCAGTTTGAAACTCAGGTCAGGTGTGTGTGTGTGTGTGTGTGTGTGTGTGTGTGCCCAAAATCCCAAAAGGAGAATGGAGGCTTCTGAATCTCCTGGGATCTTCTTACAATGCAGATTCTGCATCAGTGACATCTGGAGTCGACCTGGGAGTCTGCCTTTCTAACAAGCTTCCAGGTGAGGCCAGTGCTGCTGGCCACAGACCCTTGGAGTACTAAAGACCTGGAGTTGCACTAATACATTAAACACTGGCCACAAGTACTGCTTGCACTTACAGTTCATTAAAATGAAATAAAAATTCAGTGAAGTTCCTTGACATCACTAACACAGTTCAGTGCTCAGCGCCCACATGTGGCTCGTGGCTGCTGTATTGAACCGCGCAGATGAAAACCATGATCACAGGAGGGTCTCCTGGATAACCCTGCACTAGAGCGAGCCTCAGCTGCAGTGTCCGTCTATTTACCTGTTTACTCACGGAGCGTTTGCCACATGCTAAGGGGTACACTTGGGGCTAGGGTGTCAAAGGCATTGTTCCAGCCAGCAATAGAGTAAACGTGAGCTGATTTGAATTGACTGTGCTTAAAATAAAGATACCACTATCGATTTCCAGACCTGGCAGTTTGAAACTCAGGTCAGGTGTGTGTGTGTGTGTGTGTGTGTGTGTGTGTGCCCAAAATCCCAAAAGGAGAATGGAGGAGAAGGGACTGCAGCATGGCCATTCCTCCTAAGAGGTGATTTCTTGCTCTCTCTTTGTCTGTCTTTCTAGTGGAGTGCACAGTGCAAAAACCCTCCCCCCGCTCCCCCAAAATAGAAATACCACTAATGTGGCCAGTGATCCCAAGTTGAAAACAGTGGGCTCTGCCATGCAGGTGGAAGGAGAAAGTGTCTCCTGGCATTTTGCGAGGTCTGAGCCACGCTCTGGCTGTCCCAGAATCAGAGTATTACACTTACTGAGACGGGCTGCTGATGATACATTTTCACTGTTTCAGGGCCATAATCATCAGAAATGGAGAAATTATCCCCATGTCTTCAGAATTCACCCCCGAGACTGAGCGCCAGCGACTTCAGTACCTGGTAAGAGTCATCTGGGTTTGGCAAGAGGGGATGGCTTTGGAGCCGTTGGGAAGAACACGTTGCTATTGACACTCGAGCGGGCCCGCAGCAGTCACCGACATATGGTAGTGACTCCCCCGCACACACCTTCTGGATCACACATCCCAGCTCTGTGTGTGACGACACACTCCACCTCCATGAGTGTATTATTGTGGCTGATTTCCTTCCTTCTGTGGCCAGTCAAAGACATGGAGTGCTGTGTTTCTTTTCACGGTTTAGTACGGACAGTATAAAATGCAGCTTTGAAGAACACTTCTTCCTTGGCTTGCTACTCACTTTGACTCAAATAGGGCCTGGTTGAAGCACGTAAGGAGGAACGTCTGCCCTGGCTGCTCTGAGATCCCCCAATGCACCGCCTACTTCATGCACAGATTCAAGGTCTCAGGGGCCCCTGAGAAAGATGGCAGGTGTCCAAAACATCTGCTTCTACCCTGAAAGTACATTCTCTGTGTAGAGTCTGTATTTCCATTCTCTTTGGGGTAAGATTTTGAGAGGGCTATCAGAGGGCTCTGTTTCACTCAGAAATCTCCATTTTCCATGCCTGGAACCTGTGACTATGTGCCCAAAATCCCAAAAGGAGGAAGAAGTGGAAGAGAAGGGGCTGTAACATGGACATGCCCTGTGGGGGATGTTTTCTCAATCCATCTCTCTGTCTCTCTCTCTCTCTCTCTCTCTCTGGCAAATGCTCATGTCCTCTGACAAATTTACTTTTCTTTTTTTTTTAATCTCAGTTTTCTGGGAAACAAAACAGACACTCCCCTGTTCTCGGATTCCAGGGGTACTACGGTGTTAGGCTTAGAGTCTTGGTTAAAGATAACTTTGGTGATCATTCTAGATTACTTTGGGGTGCACATCTCAGGACTAACTCTGTGAATAGTAGTCCTGTGGATGAAATGTTTTCTTGCCAGCTGGATTTTTTTTTTTTTTTAAGACGACATAGCTAACCTTTGTGACCATCTGCTCTTAGAAAAGAATTGCTCCAGGCTCCTCCAGGAAGGATACTGTTCACATGCCTGAATTTCAGTATTGTGAATGGGCGGGATTGGGTTAGCTTGGTTAATTTAGGAAGGAGCTGTAGCGTTTTCCCTCCATAGCTTTGTCTGTGTTTTGTTTTTAACTTATTGGATAACTAAGCTGTACCACTTTTACTCTGTGTGTGGTGTACAAGACAACAGGGATACAAAGCCAGTATCAAGAGCGCTTTACTCTTTCACTGGGTTGTCGGAAAAGTCGTGATGTCATTTTCTATTTTAGTCTATACAAAAATGTGCCATGACTTTTCTGACAACCTAATACGTGCTCTTGTTTTCCAAACTGTGTGTTGTTTTCAAGCTGATAAACTAGAAGCATGACAGGATCAAACTTTAGACCTCTTCCTTTCCTTGGCAGTCTACGCAGGTGACGTGGACCCTGCAGCAATCAACACACTTCATTCTGGTCCCAGCTCTGTTATTCGCCAGCTGGATAGCCTTGTTGCAAGTCTCCTAGCCTTTCCAGAGCTCAGTGTGTCACTTGTGAAATGAAGGGCTAGACTCGAGGGTCACAAGGGCCTCCAAGCTGCAAGGTGCTTTTCCAGTGGGGTTCAGCACAGCTGGCCTTTTGCCTCCTGTCTGGCTTTCTCCATTCCATCTTCCATGAGGCCACCAGGTGAGATACGGTGATATAAATACACCGTGTTAGCTGATCGTTTTAAATGCATCTAATCTTATCAATTAAATTTTCTGAGCATCCGTTCCCTTGAACTAATCAGGAACGAGTTTAGTGCAATGATAGTCATAGTACACTTTTTCTCTTACGTGATCTGAACCAGATAGCCCATTGCTGGAAAGTGAATGATGTATTCCTCATTCTTAGGCCAAATCAACTTCTGTGTTTATGATATGAAGAAACATTCATGACAGAATCAGTAAAACCTCTAGGTTCCCTAGCCACTTACTTCGAGTGGCTGCCTGCAGTCCCAGGGCTGTTTGACGTGGAGAAATGGTTGATGACTTCTTGCGGGTGGTGCAGGTAGTCAGAGGCCTTTGTACGTGAACCATTGGGATGCCTGTCGGAGAGGAATGTTCTTGGTATGCACACTCTGGACACTCGGGGATTACAGACCTGGAAGCAGATCACAAGATGATGGATGTGGCATGCCTGTTAATTTTGTTTGGTCTTGCATCCTGACCTCAGAGGGCCCTTCGCACAGCTCTCTGGGTAACGTGAACTTTGTTCCGTCATTTCTCAGGCTGGGTAATTAATCAAGTAGGCTTGTGGGTTTGATGTGTTCACACGGAATGTGGCAGGTGTGTGATGAGGGGATCAGGCACTGTGCCCCCCTGCCCCAGCAACCAGGGAGGGCCAATGATCCTACACTCATGAATAAGCCTTGCTCCTCTGTCACTGGATTCTTTTCATGTTTCCAGGGTGATTGAAGTAAAATATTCGAGGAGGTTCACCGAGCTAGACAGAACATTTTGATGGAGTCAAGGCTCAGATGGGAGGAGAGGGGCTCTGGGTTATGAGCATTTCTCAGTAGTGTTTGCTGCTCTGATGCTGTGGCCTCAAAGAACTCACCCCCACCTTTGCTTCAGGTGACAGCCAGAAATGGATCACCCTCAGGGGACCTCTGTAGCCCTGAGTGTGAAACTGATGGCTTTCCCTCCATTCTGCCTAGACATATTTATAAACTCTGATTTGATTACATTAAGATGGCTGGTATCATCAAACCTACAAATGATATACCTCTGTCCTTGCAGAATAATCCATGTCTGATTTTCATCCAGGGCAATACACAGGAGACATGAGAGTGGGTTTCAGATACACATTTGATACACGCACGTGCAAAAGTATCTGAGGTGATTTCTTGCGGTGTCCTTGGAACTGTCCCAGCTCTCCACGTAGAGCCCGGTTCTGCTCGCCTGTCGTTTCCCTGGTGCTGAACCTGGAAAGGTTTGAAGTGAGCAACATCGTGCCTCTTGGCTCTCTGGGGTTTTTCATGCTCGAGAGTTATCTCCAGGAGAGCATTCCTTCAGCTCGGACTTGCTTTTAAGACAGGAGACAATAATCGGGAGGTTCAAGTATGCGAGTATAAGAGTGGCGAGCTTGCCACCTCCGTGTCCCACCTAACCTTGAGAGCAGGTGGTTAAACCTGACGAGCCTTGCTTTAATCACAACAAGGCGGCTTCACTACCTCTCTGCTTTGCTCCTGAGGAGAACATCTGAGTCATGGAAAAATCCACTGTAATTCCATCTCCCTCCCTACTTAACCCTCTTCATAAAACTACACATAAGTTCCAAATTTTCCAATTAAAAAAATGCTGGATGCTGGATGGTAGTGCAGTGGTTAAAAAAAAAAATGCTCTATGAGGCTGAGCTACCTGGAAACATTCCAGATTTATATCCAGAGACTTTCTGGGGGTCGCAAGGCATATGCTTGCCTAGGATCCAGGGCTGACTGAAGCTAGGGTGGATCATGGCATCAGGCCCCTGTTGGGGCTGTGCTTGCTTTCTCTCTCTCCCTCCCCCCTCCTTTCTCTGTCTATCTGTGCCTCCCTCTCTCACTTATGAAATACAGAAACTTTTTTTTTTTTAGATTTTTGTCATAGGGTACATGCATTTGCTGGAGGGAGAAGGGGAGAGAGAAAGTGAGAAATCACACCCCAGGAGGGATCCCGTAGAACAGTCCCTTCTTCATTCTCCTCTTGGGATTTTGAGTGCACACACACGTACGTACCCTGTGAGATTTTCAATGGTCCTGTAGAAATTTGCATCCATGTAAACCAGGCGAATCTTATCAATGATTAATCCTATAATAGTTTAATCCTTGTTACTTTGAGATTTTTAAGAACAAACTAAGCCCAAAAATTCTTTATGAAAAAATTGAACCAATGCATATTAAGTTCTCATTCATTTCACTTTGTTTTTTAACTTTTTTTTTTTCACCCAAACCAAAATATTCTGTTCCTGCACTGTAAATCAGGCGGCCAGCCTTGGCTCGGGAAGAGCCATCTCATTTGGCCGTTAGCGTGACCGTTAGCAATCACTGACAGTTTGGCTGACATTATTAATTTCATTTTATTCTTGACCTTAGACTTCCTATCATGATAAATCATTTTGAGTTGTAAGGCTTCCAATCCTCCTCTCATATAATCTGATGAGATTCCCACCACCACCACCACCTCCCAAGGACAAGAAAGAAGAATGATGACTCAATTTTTAAAAATTTTTGTATTAGACACTGAACATCCTCATTCTGATAACTTCCTTTCAAACGCTGAGCGATTTAAACAATTAAAAAATCTAAAAGTTCTAGTTAGAAAACTACACAGTGCTTTCTGCCTTGGACTCTCCCATCACATTTAATACCTTTTTTTTTTTTTTTTTTTTTTTACTTTTCATATTCTACCTATGGCAGTAGAAATTGACACAACTCCTTTGAAAGAGGGTTTGAGGGAATCAGCAGTTAGTGTAATGGCTATGTCGCTGGACTCCCACGTAGTCAACTGCAGTTCGCGTCCCGGACCCGGTGGCTTAAAACTCACGCCGGGCGCGTGTGCGTGCGTGCCCAAGATCCCGAGAGGAGAATGGAGGAGAAGGGATTGCGGCGTGACCATCCCCCCTGGGGGGTGATTTCTCGCTTTCTGTCTCTATGTCTCTCTCTGTCTGTCTGGCGAGCGCACGCGCCCTATAGCAAAAACCTCTCCAAAAAAAAAAAAGAAAGAGGGTTTGGCAGTCACTCCAAAAGCCAAGCACGTGCTGGCTCGACATTTTCACTCCTAGGTACATCCCTACCAGGAATGGGTACAGACGTTCACTGAAAGACCAAACTGTGCACAGCAGCACTGTCCATAGCGGCCCAAGCTGGACACCCCAGTGCCTGTGAGGAGCAGGGGCGGTGAATGAGTGGTGACGTGGTCACGGGTAGCACTCCCAATAGTAGACTCTAACCGCACATCATGTGCATGAGTCTCACAGCC